CTACAAGCGCGAGCTCCTTGCTCTAAGGCAGATCTCGGCGGCACAAGCTCTCGTGCGTCAAGAGCAGCTCCCAACGCTGTGAGCTCGCGCTTCTTGCTTTCTCTGCGGTACAACAAAAGGTGAAACGGAGTATAGATACCACCACCGGGGTGAAATGTTACGAAGACGACGACGACGGACGCTGTCGCAAAAGACGAAAAGGAGCCCGCGCAGTTGTGTTGCACGAGCTGGTGGTTTCTTCATGCATATTTCTAGCAGCCATCACTGTTGTTCTTCAACAGATCACCCTCAAATATATATATCATATTCACCCTCACAATATATATATATATATATATATATATATACAACTTACCCGATCTTATTATCAAGCTGACTCGTTATTTAGGATCATAATAAAGACTTATGAATCAGCAGGATATATTTTTTGCGTGATGATTAAAGGCTTCTCTTCGCTGCATTTTCAGCATATTTCCATACGTGCGATGATTTTCGCCAGACAGTATCGCGTATCGCACGCAAATACAATTAGTTCTTATAGAGGAGCTTTCTTAGAGCTGCCATGTTTTCAATAAATGCGAGACGAAAACCGTTGCAGACGGCATGCATGCTTCAGTCATTCCGTGCGCGTTCGCATGCGTTTTTTGTCTGCAGGAGGCACCTCGAGACGTCTCGAGACGCGGTAGTTGCAGTAGCAAATGTTTCAGAAACAGTCGATTTTCCGTAAATTTCTCTCGTGGTAAGTGTGAAGTCTAGGCTTCGTATATAAGTTCTTTTCTGGCGTTCAGATTCCAAGTTCAATTTTTGACCGTTCACTGATTAGGAACGAAATATAGTCTCATGTATTCGTCCATAACAACTCACCAAGCGATGGTTTGTTTTGAGCAGTCGCGTCACGCTCGCGGGGCCAACTCACGCCGATGCGGTGAATAGCGACAGAACAATTATTTTTTGGTTTCACGTATTGCGAACATTAAAGCGAAACTTTTGCTACTGTATTAATAGGTCTCGCGGACCAAGAATAAACTTTAGGGCCCTTAACTATAAGCTGCTGGTACGAAAAATCCTCTAAAGTGAGCCATTTTTTAGTAAAATTGTCTCGAAGTGGACATGGTACGACTGTTTTCAGGCATTCATTCATTATTTCAAATTCAGGCGCCCGCGCCTCATCCAGGAAGGTTCTGAGATCAGCCGAGTTTTTAAGTGGTGACTAATTACACAATTTTGGGCTTTTAATTACAAGCTACTGCTGTGGAAAGTCCTCTAAATGATCCATCTTTCAGAAAGCTTGTCTCGAAGTGGTCATGTTTCGACGGTTTTTAGCAGACATGTACAAGTTACTCAAAAAAAGTAATTAAGTTACTAAGTATTGACGTCAAAAGTAATTTGAGTAGAGTAGAAGTTACTCAGATAGAAAGTAATTTAGTAAAGTACTAACTCCCGTGACAAAGTAGTTAATTACTTTTGAAGTTACTTTTACATTTTTTATGGTAAAAAGAAAGTAGACAGGTTTTGATTCGTTAGCGAAATTGTGCTCGCCAAACATGAATCGGCTCGCTTTTTAACAGAAATAGTTTAATAGCTGGTTCTGCTTCTGCGTGCGTTTTGTACTTTCTAGCTTGTTTGGTCAATGATGTACTGTGAATGTGTCATTTCTACTTTGAAGTTTAGCACTGTCTGAGCTTGATCTTTTTTTACAGTGTTTGCTTGTTTACAGTGCTGCGTAAAGTACATCTAAAAAGTTCTTGAAGAAAAGTACAAAGTAAATGGGAGGTTATGTCCAATGCGCCTCAAACTTAACGCCGCCACGGCATTTGCCGTTCCTGACAGTCCCTGCGGCGGCCGATTGAACTATCTGAAGAATGTTTGGGTTCCCGATTTCTATCCCAACCTGAGAAGGCGTCGTGAACGTTTTGGTGACAAATTTAACAGTAAGTAGCCGACACGAGCTCAATGTTTGGGAACCCAGTGGCGGCGTTTAGTTCGGGGTCCACTGTACTTCAAGTAAAGTAGTAAGTACACCGAGTGCAATGTACTTGAAGTAACTTATATAAATACAATATATTTCGAGGTAAAGTAGACGCACTTTTAACGCAACCTTTCATGACGCCCTTTCATTCCCTATACAGTGTTTTTAACAGGTATGCATTGCTGCAGGTGTAATCGGAGGTGCATCCGTTTTTTTACGGAAATGGCAGCAAATATTGTATAAAATCAAGTCGCTGCAAAGTAGTTGTTTCACTCTCGCTGACGAGCTATTTGATACAATCAACTTATAAGGCACTTATTTCCATTGGTTTTACAGCCGCTATTACTTCACTCAGAGAAATAACCCGATGACGTCTCGAAAGAGCGCGTTTTCACACGACAATACCGCCATTTGCTGTTTCCAAATTAGGCGAGCGTAAATTGAAGTCGAGATTTCTACTTTCCTCAGAAAATACAAGTACACGTTCAGAGAATTTACTTCAAGTAAAGTACAATTTTTCTAAACAGTAGTACTTTAAGTACCATGTACATAGAGTACTTCCCAAAACTGCTTGTTTATTCTTTTTTATATAAAAACGTTGGGGGAATTACTACAGATTTCTCGAACGATCTTTGAATCTTTGAAGATCTGTATATTCTGAGTTTTAGAAGAAAAGGCGTTGCAAAAAGGTATTATTTGCGTATCCCTTTATCACACGATTCTTCGAGTACAGCACGAACTACGGGAGCACCAGATGAGTTCCAGAGCAGGTGCAGCATTTTGTTGCCTCCTTTGAGTGAGGATTTAGTGTGTACACCTCCTGTAGTGGGCGAGAGCTTCTGCGTTGGGGAGAAGCGGGGACCAGCCCTTTTTTCAAATGAGTCAAGTCTCCTTGAGCTTCGGGACACTAAGAAACGCCAGCCATCGGCGCTAATTCCGCAGTTACTCGGCCTCTCTTGTGTCGTGTCTGTTCGCTCCCCGCGCCTCGTAGCAGTGTTGTTGCAGGGGGGTGGGGGGGGGGGGGGGGGGGGGGGGGGCTTGTGAACATTTTAGGGGGTTTCGGACTCTCCAACCCATTTTCTTCCCCCTTTCCTACGCCATATGCTTTCCCCTCTTTGCAAATATCAGCTGATCTTTCAACATTTTATCTCCTTTGTGCAGGAATGTTTGTTGATAGGCAAAACAACCACTAAAATTCGAAGGTAATTTGCAACTTGAGTAGAAGTTACTCAAAAAAGTAATTAAAGTAAGCTACTAATTGCCGAAATAAAAATGTAATTAAAAGTTACTAAATTTCTCAGAAAAGTGGTTAAACTACAGTAACTTGAGTAGAGCAGTTGAACTACGTCCAAGTCTGGTTTTTAGGCATTCGTTCGTCATTTCAAATTTGGGCCCGCGCGCCATGTCCGGGTATGTTTCGAGATCGAGCGTGTTCTCAACTGGCGACGAAATATACCATTTAAGGCCACCGATTTCAAGCCCGTGATATTGCGAAACCTTGGGTTTCAGCCCTCTTTGAAAATTGAGATATGAAGTCGGATATTACAAAACGCTCTACTTCATATATATTTCTTTTGCTCGTTGTGTGCCCGATTAGTGTGATATTTAATTTAATGTAAACATTTAGGCGCGCCTACATATTAATTCGCACATGCGAATGCTAAATTTACAAGAACAATCATCCTCACTTAAATTGTTTATTCATCGCAATGCACACATTTTTTACAATAAAAGTCGGTGTGTTTTAATCACATAAATAATATATAGCTAGCATATCTTGAAAACTGTTTCATATAATTTTAAATTATCATAATATGAAACAGCTGTTTGTGTTTTTTTTATTTTATTGATGTCAGTAGCAGAACACTGTAAGGGAACGTAAACATCTAAACGAAAGCGAATCCACTGTATTTTAAAAATTTGGCTCAGGAACAAATTAAAATAATTTTGAGAAAAAACAAAATGTATGCAGCACATCATAAATTCATCTAATTCATCGAAGGGCAAATCTTGTATTTTTGTGTGTGTTTTTAGACTCTGCTCGTTTCAGCTTGGCTGTATCTCTAAGTCTTGGGTGAGGTGCCTCCGAGATATGTTTTTCCACAGATGCAAAACACATTTTATACACTACATATCATTTGCCGTAACATTGAACATGGATCCCATTAATTTATACAATAATAACTAACTTATTTTTATTACCAAGAACAAACCGTACCCTCCGACTACAATGGATAATATGCGTAGTGGCAAGACATCAAAAAGTTTATTCGACTGAGGAACCTGTGGTTAACAAGTCATTTAAAATGTTGGTACAAAAATAGTGGTATATCATAAAATGGAGTAGAAACTTGGCAAATTGTTACAATGGTGACGTTTCGTTGTTATGGCTATACTTGTATGCTAAATATGTGAGCTTCTATGGAGCGCTGCTGTAACCCACTAAAAGATGGCGAAAACATAAGATGGCAAAAATGTCTGAATATGCAGCAGATCAAATGCGTCACGTATATGCACATTCCATAAAAATTTAAAATTGATATGTGCAGGGGTCGATTTTTTCGGCTCTTTTTACAGCGCCAGATTTTTTGTAGTCACCCTATATATAACTGCAAAAACATCTGTCCCGGCCAGGTCTCTGCTATAATAGACAAGCCCATATGGTTAAAAGTTAGCAAAAGTTGCACATGCGTTCAGGCTGCACGCGCATGCGCGCACCGGATAGGGCGAGGAATCGCTTGTGACTCCCTGTTCCCAGTTGATTAGGCGGAGCGGAAGGTCGTCTGCTTCTTGCACAATGGTTGCATCGACGTGCATAACTCCGAGCTCTGATTGACTCTGACTGAAAGGATAGCGCGTAGACTTCAACGCTAGCTGCCTTGAGGTCTATTCACTATCCTTCCAATCGGAGGCAATCGGAGGACGGCGTTCTGAGGCAACACCAACCTTTGCACAAGAAGCAGGCGAACTTGCATTCCGTAGAGAAACAAATCAAAATGCAAGCGTAATCGAAATTTGTTTTCGTGCTCAGGGTGAAGCCGGTGTGAGGAAGATGCTCGCGATACTGAGAGAGGAGGTGGATCGATCGCTGGCACTCATGGGTAAGATATTTCTTCTGCCTTCTGTTTTTTTTTTTTTTTTTCTCATTCATAACATAAAAAGGATCTTAACTGCATAATGTCCAGTCTAAAATCATTCACAGCTAAAAAAAAATGCCTAGCGTGGCTTATTATGTTAACTAGGTCGCCTTCGTGCATCGTTCGTACTACGGCACTCTTGCCGGGAAATGTCGCAATCTCATTGGCAATGGAGTGATAATAAGATGTCCAAGACTCGCGAAACACTGTCTCTTAATCTAGCAGGGATTATAGAGTTCCAGTTGCAGAGGGAGGCAACACAGAAAAAAAAGGGGGGACATGACGAGCGCACGTCAATAAGCCTCGGGGACTATCGTGTTTTTGCAAGGATTTGGTGATAGGGAGTCGTCGCTTCTCTCCTCGTATTGACTGCGGTACTCTTTTGTGTTACACAACAAAATCCCATCTAGTCGATCCGTATTTTTCTTTCATTTCACTCGTGCACTTCAAAATGGCGCACAAGCTACTACAACCTAGGTACTGGACATACACAGATAAACCACAGTAATAGTTTCAGCTAAAACTTTAGAAGTGTTTTACAAAAAAAAATTTAATAGAATGCACTTGCTTGTTAAGACTGGCTATAAGTAGTCTTCAGCTACGTAAGAATCGTATAGATGACTTATGTTTAGAAAGCATCCAGTGAGTAATAAAGAGAGTGAATGAAGCGTTAATTTTACGTTCCCCATTCGTCTACCATTTTTAATCCGTAACATTCTGGTGAAGAAGGTGCTGGGTTTATCTACGCTCAAAACTTATATAAAGACGGCGACCAACGCACACTGCGATGACTACCAATGCAAATGGATTGAGACGACAAGTATGACCGACGATTACCAACGACCACGATGAGTCAGGTTAAAGGATGGCGAGCTGTGACAAGCGAAATCAAACAACGACGACGCCTGCGACGGTGCGACGATGACGCCTGCAACACCCGTCGTCGTAGGCCATTGGCGGCCTACGACGACGGTGACGAACTACGAAGACGGCCCGACGGCTGTGAACAACACCAACAACGGAGGCGAGTATGACAGCGACTTACGACAATCACCAACTTCTCAAGACAATGATGACCACAATCGAGCACTCGACGGTACTGTTATCGTGACAAGTTTGAGAATGTCGAGCCATTTTGTTATGCGGAGTATAACTTTTCATTTTCGCCTCTCCTCAGATAAGCAGCGGGCCGGTGTTTCTTAGGGGGGGGGGAGGTGTAATGCCGCGTGCGTGACGGAGTTGGCAATGCACGTAGCTCCGATAGAGACGCAGGGTCTGAACCCTGCGCATCACTGTTTTGTTGAATATAATCTGGTACTCTTCTGGACATTTCCTACTTCTTGGGCTATCATCGTTAATTCTGGCCCGGAACATTCCGGAACTTACCGGGTGTATGAAAGCAACGGTAACGGGTTACTTCACGAAATCACCCACTCGTCTCCGATGCGTTTTTTTTTAAGTGTGTAGGCAAAACTTTACCTCATTAAACGGTTATTTTTAGTCTTACTTTTTTTTTCTCATTTTTATTCGCGACAATATAACGCTCAGTCACATATTCGACTTGAGCAGAACTGAGTACGACGACAAACAAGAGAAAACAAGAACCCCATGCTGACAGGCTTACAGGCCAATGATTTGTAGTCGGGTATACGATAATCATTCACGTCTGTAGGGTTATACTAGCTAAACCTTCCTACTTTGTTCCAGAACAAACTTTCAAGGTAAGTTTTGAGTTGTGGCTGCCTTTCCGTAAGAGTAGCACTAGAAATCCGGCTTTTAAACCAAAAATTAGTTTCAAATTACCAAACAGGCGCATACCACGGGCGCCGTTAAAGGCTAGGGATGAAATGCATGGTCCGACTCAACTCACTGACGTCACGCCACTGAGGTGGCGCTGCTGTCGGTACCTGCGCATGCGCAGACGCTTCACTCCTCCCAAATTCGGTTTTCTGCGCACGCGCGTTGCCCACACCTTCTGTGGGATTGTTTGCAAACAGCGCTTTGGCTTATAAAAAAAAAAAATTAGGTAGGGCTCAAAATATTCGCGTTTCATCTAGATGGAAATGCTAAGGTACCAAGTTACGCTTTCGCGTAAGTGTGGGAAGCAATGATCATAACCAAGGGCGTGTTTATATGTACGTATAGTATTTTTTTTTTTCAAGTTTCTTCAGTTTACACTACACTTTTCACTCCTGCATGTTTTTGTTCAACCTTCAGGGTTTTGAACATTCAGACATCTTTTTTTTCTTCCAGAGGAGTTTGAGATTTTTTTAATAAGAACAACGTGATATTTTGTCACGCAGGTTGCTCGTCCGTCGACCAACTGTGTCCTGAGATGGTGGTGCACCAGGACCACTTTATACAGGCCGACTAGCTTTGAGAGGTACTGCCAGTGAATGTGTGAGCAACACGTGTCTCCGTGTTCTTCCAAAATAAACGTGATGCATATCGTTCACTAAATTCGTCAATAGACGTTTCACGTGCAAGGCCGGATGGCCGATGCCTGGCCCAGTAACCACTTTTATGTCGTTCATTTCATATGTTGTTAAGAATATCGACATAAACGCTGGAGTATTATCAGTTATATAGATATCAGTATTAACATTCTAGAAAAGCTTTAAACAAAATAATTACCCACGAAAAATTCACTGGGGGACGTGGCTTACACCGCAGGAGAACGCGCTCGTATTACCGTGTGGAGTACAGTAAGACACATGTGGAATCAATTCCGTTATAGTCACATTATCTTCTCTTGTAATCGAATTGCATCTTCGGGTCGCGGGTCTCTTAAATCGAGAACATTCTACGCAATAGTTTTAGACGTAAAAGAAGACTGGTCTTGGATATAGTGAAGTATTTGGTTTTCTTTTTCTTTTGCTGGAAATAAGTCCTTTAATCAGGATGTTTAATTATATTAAGAACATTGAACGGCGGCCATAAGGTAAATACTTAAGATATATGTGTTTAGAATAGCGATGGGCATTGATTTAAACTTTTAGCCTGACTAATTGTCACCCTTTAATTGATTAATTAATCGCTGAATCGGTCTTGTTCGTTTCTATGGTTAAAACCATGGAAACGAACAAAAACAAAAACAAATATTGGCCGAACGTCCTCAGGGGGTAGGTTACTTCCGGTTGGATTTTTTCTGGAGGTTCTTAGGACCCTCAGGGAGTAGCCTACACTTTTACAGTTTCCCAGCCGAGGACTAACTGCGGCACCTCCTGAAATTTACTCATAGGGGATAGACATCCCTTTCTGTGACCTTGGGTGAAAAGAAAGAGCACTTTTTCCTCAAGGAAATGGCAAATCTGCCAAGGGTATTCCGGGATCATCTGTAGGACCACGTATTCAAATAGCCTGGTTCCTATACCTCAGAGCGACTTAAAAGCTCCAAATTCCTAGACGCGTTCAACTACTTCGTGAACGGCAAGGCATCGGCGGTGGG